ATTTTTTCTAGTTCCATCCATTTGCCTGCAAATTTCATGCTTTCATTGTTTTTCTCTGCTGAGTAGTACTCCATTGTGTATATGTACCACATTTTTTTCATCCATTCTTCCGTTGACGGACATCTAGGTTGTTTGCAGGTTCTGGCTATTACAAATAGTGCTGCTATGAACATAGCTGAGCATGTACATTGCATTTTTTAATGAGCTGCATAAGCATACTAGCCCAAACAGGAATAGAAACACATATACAGTATAACAAAATAACTTTAAATTTGTATCAATATACTATATTCTCCTAAATGATATGATAACAAACATCCATAGTCCACTAAATAACCAAAGACCATCTACTCCATCTCTTGGGAAGGTGGGTGTAGTATTCTCTAAACTGCTTCCTGCTGTCTGTGAATAAAGTGTCTTTAGCATTCCTGAGAAAATTTGAGGTAATAGTTAAGTCCTAGGAAGACGAGATGTAACCTATGTTGATAGATATGTCAAGACTCAGGAGGTCTCCCTTGATCACATCTGACTGATATCATTCCTGAAGGAATCCATAGCCTCTTGTCTCCTGTGGGAATAAAACTCCCAAACATTTTTGATTTCTATTTGACAAAAATATTTTTTTTTACTTCTTTTGAAGTTAAGGCATTCCTAAAGTCTCTAGGTTGGTTCAATTTTGCAGTCCTCTTCACAATCTCATGTGTCTTAGCAGCTGCTGTTTGCTTATCAACAATAAGAAAAAAAACCAAATCAACACAATAACATACAGGATACATACTTCCTGTGTATTTCCCATCGTATGTGGCTTTTTTCTTTTATATTACTTTTACTGTCTCTTTAAAGACTTTATTATTTGTTAAACTATTTATTTATTTTCTATGACTATCTATACCCATATTCTTTCTTTCTGAAGCCTATGCTCATTGTAAAATATACTGGAACCTGTTTAGAGGTTTTTCTGTACAAATCTATTGTACTGAATATCTTTTTTTTTTTTTTTTTTTTTTTTTTTTTTTGGTTTTTCGAGACAGGGTTTCTCTGTGTAGCTTTGCGCCTTTCCTGGAACTCACTTGGTAGCCC